CTTCCGCATTTATATAAAAGCGAACAACAGCAACATATATATATATATATATATACATACAGATATGTACATATATACCTTCTAATATAAAATGCGTTGAGTGTGAGATAAATCATCAATTGAATTAAGATTAAATAACAATCTTTGTTATGCTATGGCGTTGCGGCTGCTGCTTAGAATAAATAAACAAAAAAAAAAAAAAAGAAAAGAAAAAAAAATCTATGAAATGTAGGCGTCTTGGAACGTTTATAGGTTTCCATAGTGTGTTTATTTTAATAAATATGAGAGAATTGAAATTATCAATAACAATAACAATAGTGACAACAACAACAACAACGGTAAGAATAGAAATAATAATTAAATGATGAAAATTAAAAAAAAAGCTGAGATAACGTTAGAAATTTTATAATAAATTGCGTTTTTAATTGAATTTTATACGAATAGACGAAAAGCGAGGGTTAATGATTATAGAAAAATCGTACGCCGCTGCCGGTTTGATTGAAGTTAACTAACTGGCTTTTCTTTGTATGAATTTCTTGTTTTTTATTTATTTATTTATTTATTTATTTTTTTTGGATCTGCGATTAGGCAACGCAATAGAATTGTTGTTGAATGATATCTTTCACAGTTTCTATCAACAGCTACTTATAACACATACATAATGAGCCTTATGGACAGAGGGACAATTAACAGCATTAGCTGTACATCCTATATTCATCTCATCTCATTCATTTGATATGGGTTTCGATAGTGACAGAATCGATTAAACAATTATATATTTACTCCTTACGGACAAAAAAAATATACATTGTTAACATTTTTTATTCTTCTTGTTTGCTATGATTTCTTTTCCAATTCTGTTCTTATTTGATTTAATTATCAATTGAGAATGTAGTCGCTCTGTATAATTTATTCATACATTTTCTGTATATATATTTCTAGAAGTTGTTATTATACTTTTTATACCTTTTTTTCATATTATGCAGATATGCAAGTACGCATATATATACTTATATATATATGCATAAGTTAAGTATTTATTTATATACTTGCACGCATATACATGCTTACATATATATACATATATTTATGGTGAAACGCGAGTCAAATCCAAGTCATGTCATTTGTTTGTCTATCTTGCCCACTTGTTTTATCTGTCTGTCCGTCTTCTACGTTCTCTCTTTGTTATCTCTGGCAGCCTTGTCTGCTTGTTTTGTCTGCCGGCCTTATTTGCCCGCTTTGTTCGCTTGTCTTGACCCACCTGCCTTATCCGTTTGCCTTGTCTGCCTTGTTCGCCTTGTCTGCTTTGCTGTCTGTCTATTTTTGTCTGCCCATCTTCTCTGTTGATCTTGCCCGTCCGTATGTCTGTTCGTCTGCCTTCTCTGTCTTTTCATTCTGTCCTGTCTGCTGGAACTCCCTCTCTTTGTCTGTCTGTCTGTCCAATTAATAAATTTACGCTTGCAATATTAAAAGTCTACTCTTTATAAAAATAATTCAATCCAGAATCAACTAGAGCTCAAATACACGTTTCTTCGGAAATTCGTAAAATTTCCTCTACTATTTGCAATGAACTTGTAGCTAGTCCTTTTCGATTACGTTATGGTATTGGAAATTGTAGAGCCTTTGGTGTAAAGTTTAGAGCACCATCTTAAATCGTACCACAATAAACTCCGAAATCTTATTACATCAGTTCAAGAGCAAGAACCTATGGAAGTGATTTTTGTGTAGTGGGGAGTTTTAAAAAATTGCATTGTAAAAAACTAAGCAGAATATCCTTGATCAGATCTACTTTCATCTGTTTCTAATTTTCTTCTGCTTCTAAACCTTAAAAAAATTCCTGTAAAGCAAGATTTGACAAGAGAACGACCAAGTACATGCCAACATTTAAGCTAAGTCGCAAACAAGTAAAATAAGACGGAATTTATATAAAAATTCATATGATGTTTTTTTTTAATCTCATCTGATTATATATATAAAACGTCGGTAAGATCTAAGTCCTATGAGAATTCATAAAGAAGTCTTAGCATCTGTATATGCAAAATTAAAGTCCCTAAAGAGAATCATTTGTGGAAAGAACCCGGAAATGGAACTTAGTATGTGGAAAGAACCCAGACATGGAACTTAATTTGTGGAAAGAACTCAAAAGTCAAATCATTTCGAAGAGTAGAATAAAGATATTAAAAAAAATTCCAAATTTTTTTTCTTTTAATATGACTCAGTCGACATGGTAATGGTGGAAAAGGAACGAAATAGAAAGTGATAGAGACAGTGGTCGCGAGACTGAGCGCCCATACTAAAGCTAGGCAGAATTATGCTCTATTCGACCTGAGATTTGAACTCACAAACTTTGGTTTTGATAGTCGCGCGGCTAGTCGGCGCGGGCAAGGAAGTATCGGAAACTTAGTACAGTACTCATTAAAGGAAATTCAAAATTCGAACTTTTTCAAAATCAAATTAGAAAGCTTCGAAAAAATAGGGGAAAAATTTACAATATTGTTGCCGCATCACTGGGTTGGTCACAAAACTTTGTCACGAATGCTTTAACGCTCGAAAGCAACATACACCTATTTTGTGTATGTACGCTCAACCACTTAACCAAAAATCAAGATGTCGACGTTCTCTGCACAACAAGACACTATTACTTGGAAACTCAAGCACACTTCGCATGGCGAACATATACAAGTACCACTTTTTCTTTTTTTCCCTTCCACTCTACGTAATCCTTCCCAATCATCACAATAACCACAAGTGTAGTGGCATCCATTAAGTGGTTGGTAAGTTCAAAAAAAGGCAAAAATCTAACTTATACAAAATGATGGAACTTTGATTTGAAGCTTAATGCTTAGTCTTAAGGCATTCGTTAGTTAATCGGACATTTTTTCTTTAAACGCGTTCCTCTCGCCTGATGAGTGACCAGAATTCGTTTTTAATTTAAAATTTGTACATTTATTTTTACTTTTTATTTTTCCTATGTAATCTTATCAATTTATAGTTTTTGTATAAAATTATTGCATTTAAAAAATATTGTTTATTGTGAATATGAAAAAAAGTGGGGGAAAAATAAAAAACAACAAAACTTTAGCTTATCAAACACTGCACTGCGCTGGCTGGCATTTAACTCTAAATGTTGTGGCGCATTAAAAGTCGTCGCGACGTCTATGATATTGATTTGATGTTTAATTGAAATTTCTATTCATTTACAAGTAATTGTTTTGTTGTTCGCTTCCTTTTCTTTTCTTTTTTTAATTTTTTATTTTTTTTTTATTTTAATTTTCGCTTTATATAAATAAAATAGTTTTATTATATTGTGATAACAAGGTAATGATTTAAATGAAAATCTATTTAATGCATTGCAACTGAAGACGTAACGTCACGTAAAAGATCATACTCCCTTTTCTTACTACAATAAGCCTCTTAACATAATCTCATATACCGTTACCTATATTCGCATTTATGTTATATGTGTAACCTTCCTCCGCCAGATACCAAAACTCTTAGCCGGCATTTTATTTGAAAAACAAAAACAATTACGACAATTCCAGTTGCATTCTTCTGTTCGATTTCATTTTTCCGATAAGATAATGTATACATAAATGCGACATTATTTCTTTTGTGTTTTCTTTTGCAAGTCTGATAACATTCTCTAGTTACTAATGCTCTTATCTAATTGCGTTTGTAAGTATTTATGTCGCACTTAATAATACAACAAGTATTAGCAGTAAAGCGGTCAGATTAAGACGAATATTGTTCACCCATTGCTTAACATATGAAAACTATCTGTCATCTAGTGTTAGGTGAAGTAGTGAATGATTTTAAGCTTTTAAGAATAGAACTGAAAAGAAAGGAACAGGGACAAGTCGTAGTCTCAGAGGAGCATGCTCGATCGGTAAGCGTTACGCCTTTACCAACCAGACAGACCAATTATGCTCGCGGCTATTCATGTGGCCCATAAAATAAAAATGAACAGAAGGGAAAGCTATGCCATCATGTACCGAAGAGGGTACATCTGCTCATAAAGTATGCTCTACCGTATGGAGATTTGAATTCGCGAACACTGTTATGATAGCCATAACACGGATGAGATGAGATAAAATTGAGAAGAAAGAAAGAAACTTTTCTTATCATGCACCCAAAAAGGTACATGTGCCGTTTAAATCTCATCTTCTCCTAAACGTGTTAAATCCCTTCCACTATTTGCACTGACAAGAAATGAATGTATGCTCTGTGATGCTATTATCACTTTGCTGCACTTTTCAATGAGTTGTTGCCGATCTCTCACTACAGCTACACGATCAGGCATTACGCTTATCGTAATTAAAGTATGCTTTCCAACACTTGGGATTGAATTTGTGTTGGCTGACTGACTGACTTTGCTACGCAGTAGAAAGGTGTGAGTGCCACAAAGCTTGCTTTATATAATAATAAGTTTTCTTCCCTTGTCGTAGTAGTGGGCAATGTGAACTCCTTCCGCTGGGGGGGGCCAACGCGTTAATAAAGAATATTGTTTGAGTTTAAGGAAGACAAATAATACTAATAAATAGAAGTAAGCAAGATAGGTCTTACTTTTCGAACACAATATTAGTACAGGGGAATAAAAGTGAATCTCAGATCTAGTTGCAAAGAAGCTTGAAAGATTAAGAGTTAATGTTTTATCTGACAAACGTGATTTTTTTATCTCATTTGGACGGAATAGTGTACAAGCACTGTCTACTTGCAGTACTTATTTATAGCTTAACTGAGACCGAGCGACGGAGTGATCAAACGTTAGTCGTAGTGTGTCGATTGAATATGTATGCCGCTCTTTTTTTTCTTGTTTGACGATTTTGATCCTAATAACTACAATGCAGCGTTAGAGATATATAAAAATTGCTTATGTTATAATATTTTTTATTTATTGCATTTTATTTATTTATTTAATTATTTATTTATTTATTTTTTTATTATTTATCTTTTCTTTTTTTTTTTGATAAGTAAAAGAGAAAAAAATTTGTAGTACTTACTTATGCTGTGGCGTTACTGTTGCGGTTGTTATTGATGATGACAACGACGGCGATGAGGATGATGACAACAACGCAGTTGACGACAACAATAAAGATGATGATGATGATGTTGATAATGGCACCTCAATATTGTGCGATGTGCGACGTCTCTCACCTCCACCCATATCGGCTAAACGTGCAAAATCTGTGTCACGATCCAGATAAGCTAAACGTGCAGAACGTCGCGATTCTAATAAACGCACTTCTTCTAAACGTTTCTTTAGTTCAATCGGTTCCTAAATATTAAAATAAAAACAAAATAAAACTAAGATTTTCGATCACTTTAATATATATTATATAAATTATCTTATTTAAAAATTCTACAAGTCGACTTTAGAGAAAAAAGAAAAGAAGATAACTGCCTTGAATAATAAATATTTCCTTTATAGATTAGTATTTAAACGCTTGCGGGGGGAGATACATACAATCTTTAAAAATTCAGCTGTTATGCTTGATAGTGGTATAAATCTGTTTTTGAAAAAAATAATAACTTAACCAAGATAATCCTTAAACATTGCGAATTATTTTGTTAATTGTGATCGTGTCGTCCATTTGATTATCTGTTCAGTTATTGTTTTAACTTTTCTAATTCCTGCTCTTTACATCAATTTGAATAACTGTGAATTTGCTTTCGTCTGCAATAGTCTATCTGTCTGTACGTCTGTAACTTTTTCACTGGATATCCACCTGGCTATCCGTCCATATGTCTTCCTCTCCAACTATCTATTCTGCGATCTACCTGATCCTCTCTTTTGATACACATCTCATTATCTGTCCATCTATGTTTTTATTTCTCAATCTATTCGCCACTATGTCTGTCTGGCACTTTCTTTCGATTCCCCGCTGATTATCTGTCCATCAGCATTTTTATCCAACTTTCTACTTGAATGCCTATCTGACCCTTTCTTTTTGTATCCTTTTGATTAGATGCCTATATGTCTTTCTGTGCAACAGTCTATTCGCCTGTCTATCTTCTCAGCCCTTTTTCTCGATCGTATCCGTCTGTCTAGCTATTTCCCTTGATATTCTTTTCATTATCTGTCGATCCGTCTTTCTGGACAACGGTCTACGCCGATGGGTACCTAATCAGATTTCTGGAAATACAACCACCTATCTGTGCACCTGTGCACATGTCTTTCTGCTTAACAGTCCAGCTGCACATCTGTCTTCATCATTGGCCAGTCTACTTAATTGAACCCTCAAAAGTTCACCTTAGTATTTATTTATCTGTTTTTTTGGCCAACAGTCCACCTAGTGGGTCTCCCAGCGAATCCCACCTCTTGACATCCATTTGATTATCTTTCCATATGTCTTTCTATGCAGCTGTCTACTCTCAACTTAATACTCGTCTATCCGTCTTTTCTTTAAAACTCTTCTTGGACTGTTTATTATCTGCCGATATGTCTTTCTTCCCACTCTTCGTTTGTGTACTTAGTCCTGTCTATCCAGCCAATTTGTCTAACCCTTTTCCTCGACATTGTTTTGATTATCCAGTCACCTGTGTTTGCGTCCGACAGTCTATTCATATGCCTGCCTAGTCTGATCTGCGGAAATCCATCTAGTTATGTGTCCATCTATCCATTTTTCCATTCTTTCTCCAACTGTCTACTTTCACCTATCTGTCTTTCCCTTGACATCTATCTATACACACATGTATTTAACTTTACCCCTTGAGGTCCACCTCTGTAGGTATCCATCTACCTCTCTGGACGACGGTCCATTTGTACCGGTTCATGGTAACCATTTCAAAGTCTATCCATCGATTTTTTATCCATTTGTTCATTCGTCGTTCTGTCCTTCAATATCGATATACTATTTACTAAACCATTTTACTATTTACTAAACCATTAGATTAGATTAATCTTTCTGTTTTTCTCTGTCTGTTCGACAAAAAATGCATTTTGTTTTGCTTTTTTTGTCAAAGTTACTAGGTGGAGACAAAAAAAAAAAAAATCACGCCAAGCACATATCTAATTTTCACACAAAATATAAAACTATAAAAAAAACATTTTTTCGCCCACAGTCAAAAAATGCAAAAAGCAAAAACAAGCCTCGAAAAATGGAATATTACAATATATTTTCATTTCTCGTCACCATATAGGGTATGGTCGATGTAGATATGACATTTGACTTGAATCAATCGAAAATGCACGACGACTATGCCTATGATGCGATAAAATGATTTGAAACTTTTAACTTTCCTTAAATTATTTTTCTTAATACTTTAATACTCGTATATAAATTTATAAACTCTGAACTATGCCTTTCTCTCTCTCTCTCTCTCTCTTTTTAATGGAATAAAATTTTTAGAATCTATCCTTCAGTGATATAGTCATATGTAAGCTTTATCTTTATATCCATGTTTATGGAAAAATGTTGTTTTTCATTTTGATAAATATCTATTCATTTATACAAAATATACATATGCACATATATAACTGTCTATGTATATGCGTTTGATATATGATTACTTTACATGTCTCTATACTTTATGTAAAAAGGCCAACAAAACAAAAAGAAAAACAACTCAATATGAATAAATGACTAAAAACTAAAAAATAAAGAAAACAATTAACTTGAAATGCAAAATTGCAAATCATTATTATTCTTTTCTTTGCTAAAAAAAATATAAAAAAAAAATTTAAAAAAAATAAGAATAAAAAGAAATAAAAGAAAAAAAAATTAAATGATAATCTTGGTATTATGCGCATATGCTTGCTTGTACGCCCATGTAATAAAAATGGACGTAAAGGTTACCTTAGGCCTCACCCATTTTCATTGCAAAATCTTTGAAATCTATTAAAATGCAAGTGGAGTAAAGTCTTACGAGTTTAACGAAATTTCAAATTAATTTTCATTACAGCGAGCATTGGAAAACTTTTGTTTTGTTCCATTTTGGTTTTAAAACCTATGCATGTTAAGACTTGCTCAGGTAACTGAAAGATTTTTTTTTTTTTTTTTTGATTTTTTTATTTCCTATACGCATATAACGGTCTTACTCACAAAAAAAGAAGCAAGGGAAGGGCAAAGGGGCTAGAAGTGTAGTCATACTCTAGGCGATTTGTATTTTGCCTTCACTGATCACCATACATTCGATAAAAGTACACTCTACCATACTTGAGATTTAAACCTACGAACTACGAGCTTGGCAGTCACGATTCCTACCTACTTAGCTAGTTAGGCCGATTTAAAACTCATCGATTATCCTGTCAAATAATCACAAGGCCTAGTAATGGACCATGTTTGAATATCTAATAAAATAGGTATATTCTCGATTAGCATGAATGGTTCAAACCTCATCGGTTGTCTTGTCAAAAAATCGCAAGGCCTAGTAATGGACGATGTTCGAATAGCTAATACAATAGATATACTCTTGATTAGCACTACGCCATTTTAACTCAATCCGTCGGTCTTTCTGTCTGTTTATGTTTCCGTTTGCCGTTTCCTATTAAAACTGCGCTGGGTATATAAATTTGGTGATGAAATGTTTCTTAGCAATTAGTGTCAGATTAACACCCTTACAAAATTACTTTAAACCGATATAAAAACCACCCATCATTAGATAAAGCATTTCTTTGCATTTTTTGTTTTGTTTTTCACTTTAAAGCCTTAAATTTTTTTTAAATTTTTCTTTAAGGAGAATTAAGTCCCAGTTAAAACCGCACATTTTAAAAAACTGTAGGTCCTGATCGGTTCCTTTTTTATGGGAAATAGCTGCGTCTTTCAAGCAAATAATAAAGCAGATCGAGTATAGCTGACTTCACATATTTTTTTTATCTTCTTATTTTATGAATTTAGTCCTGGAAGAACAACTGGTTGTTTGAGGTTATCTACGTATGCGTTTGTGATCTTTTTTTTGGGCATCATAATAAAAATGGTGTTGCTATGCGGACAGACAATAATTAAGAAATCAACATTAGTCAGATAATTAATGTCTTTAAGCGAAGGTAGTCGGAAGGAGTAATGTCTGGTAAATATGCCCATTTTAGTGTTGCTAACGCTGATTGGACTAGTTTTGCTATGATAGTGGAAAATGACGAAAATGTGACTTTTTCCATATTATGTTCATTTTTCGACTTTGTCGCATCAGTTTTATCTAACAGTAACGCTAGGAATATTCGCCTTTACCCTCAATGCAAATGCCTCTCTTTTCTGATTTATTATTATATCTTGCCCTTCGTAGAGTTATTTCTCGCCAAGATTCAAGAAGTAACGTTAAACTTTTTTAGGTACCTAACTCCATTTATGCTCTCAAAAATTGTGCTCGATTAAAGATGAAGTAACATCATCTCTTTAAAAGATCAAGATGTTCGAAACTAAGTTTAGCAAAAGTCTCTTATAGCATTTAACACTACTCACTGACTCTACGCACAGACTAAATTGCATTTCAACCTTATTTTTTATGCTGAATTCATAAGGCCTTTAATCTTTAATATATCTTTTTAAGCGGTCTCCAATGAACATCTAATATACAACATACACATGAGCAAGTAAAAACACCATAGCCGGACACGGGTACGGAGCAACATCAAATTCCCTACATCATATCAATTATACAGTTATTCATGCAATCACTGATATTGAAAATGGTTGACAGTATGTTCGAATTAGAACCATTTTCAATAGAGTTTGTCCTTCCGGCCTGTAGGTTGAATACAAGAAAACAAGGCGTACGAACGGACGGAGAGACAAGCGTAGATTGATTCAGAGAGCGCACACGCCCGCTGAAAGCTGAATATACCCTTGTACCATAAGTGATGTACGGTATAAAGACATAACAACAAAAATTATTTTTCTTTGGGACAAAGTCTCTCGGTGCAACAAAATTCAAAATATTTCGAATGTTTTAACTTGTAGAGTTAAGAAAAGACAACAAGACGGACAGACGGACAAAATCATAAACTGATTCACAAAGCGATTTTAAATCGATCGGTATAAGAAAAATTGGGTCTATTCCAAGTACTTCTGGGTGTTGCGTGTATCCGCACAAACTTAATTTATCCTCGCACCAGGTATAGGGAATACAAAGACAATTCAAGGCTTGTCCTTAAATATTCAACAAATATCTCCCCTCCCCTTCCGCCTTTCTAATGAAAATAGAGAATAGTTTACTTTTGTCCAAAGGTTACAAAGTAGAAGCTTTTTCTTTACGTCAATGCATTTCAGTATCCGTTAACCTTAACCTCAACGTTAAATAAAAAAAAAAGCCATTTCGAAAAAGGTGCCTGTTGGGAAA